TGGGATGCACTGGGAGGGACTGAGAGGGACTGGGAGGAGCCACGCCCTTCACCCCTGGCAGGGAATGGGACCAGTGGCTCATCCTGGACCTTCCCAGACTGGGCAGGGAGAAGAAAAGGGAGAAGTTTGGGACAGGAGAGGACACTCCAAAAGGGAACTGGGATGCACTGGGAGGGACTGGGATGCACTGGGAGGAGCCACACCCTCCACCCCCCTGGACCTTCCCGGACTGGGCAGGGAGAAGAAAAGGGAGAAGTTTGGGGTGGGAGAGGACACTCTAAAGGGGAACTGGATGTGCTGGGAGGGACTGGGATGCACTGGGAGGCACTGGGATGCACTGGGAGGGACTGGGATGGACTGGGAGGCACTGGGATGCACTGGGAGGGACTGGGATGGACTGGGAGGGACTGGGATGCACTGGGAGGGACTGGGATGGACTGGGAGGGACTGGGAGGGACTGGGATGGACTGGGAGGCACTGTGAGGGACTGGGATGCACTGGGAGGCACTGGGAGGGACTGGGATGCACTGGGATGCACTGGGATGGACTGGGATGGACTAGGATGCACTGGGAGGGACTGGGATGGACTGGGAGGGACTGGGATGCACTGGGAGGCACTGGGATGCACTGGGAAGAGCCACACCCTCAAAGGGGGAAGTTTGAGGTGGGAGAGGACACTCCAAAAGGGAACTGGGATGCACTGGGATGCACTGGGAGGGAGTGGGAAGGACTGGGATGCACTGGGATGCACTGGGAGGCACTGGGAGGCACTGGGATGCACTGGGAGGGACTGGGATGCACTGGGAGGAGCAGGGAGAAGAAAAGGGAGAAGTTTGGGGCGGGAGAGGACACTCCAAAAGGGAACGGGATGTGCTGGGAGGGACTGGGATGCACTAGGAGGCACTGGGAGGGACTGGGATGCACTGGGAGGAGCAGGGAGAAGGGAGAAGTTTGGGGTGGGAGAGGACACTCTAAAGGGGAACGGGATGTGCTGGGAGGGACTGGGATGCACTGGGAGGCACTGGGAGGGACTGGGATGCACTGGGAGGGACTGGGATGGACTGGGATGCACTGGGATACACTGGGAGCTCATCCCAAGACCGGGAGAGAAGAAAAAGGGGGATGGGGTGATTTTTGGGTGGCAAAAGGAGCGTTCGGGGGCGGCACCTCCACGAAGTTGGTGTGCTTGGCGTCGCGCACGGTGACCACGGCGTGCACCTCCTCGATGAGCTTCTGCTTCTCGTCGTCGTCGAACTGCATGTACCACTTGGCCAGGCGGGTCTTCCCCGCCCGGTTCTGGATCAGGATGAAGCGGATCTGCCCCGGGAACGAGGGGGGGACAAGGGGGTTGGGGCGGGAGGGGTTTGGGGGGTCCCCGCGGCCGCTTTTGGGGTGTTTTGTTCACAGGGAACCTGGGAAAGGTCTTTGTCCTCCCTGGGGGGTCACATTGTGGGGTCAGGGTAATGGGGGGCACTCTTCCATCCCCTCCCCAAGCTGTGCCACCCCACAGGGGTGTCCCAATATTTGGGGGGTCCCCTCGCCTGCTTTTGGGGTGTTTTGTTCACAGGGAACCTGTGAAAGGTCTTTGTCCTCCCTGGGGGGCTCCTGGGGTCAGGTTGTGGGGTCATGGTGATGGGGGGCACAGGGGGTTGCCCCCTCCATCCCTCCCAAGCTGTGCCACCCCACGGGGGTGTCTCAATATTTGGGGGATCCCCTCGCCTGCTTTTGGGGTGTTTTGTTCCCCCTGTGAAAGGTCTTTGTCCTCCCTGGGGGGTCAGGTTGTGGGGTCACGGTGATGGGGGACACTGGGGGTTGCCCCTTCCATCCCCTCCCCAAGCTGTGCCACCCCACAGGGGTGTCCCAATATTTGGGGGGTCCCCTCACCCCCTTTTGGGGTGTTTTGTTCCCCCTGTGAAAGGTCTTTGTCCTCCCTGGGGGGTCAGGTTGTGGGGTCATGGTAATGGGGGGCACTGGGGGGTTGCCCATTACCCCTCCAAGCTCTGCCACCCCACAGGGGTGTCCCAACATTTGGGGGTCCCCTCGGCCGCTTTTGGGGTGTTTTGTTCCCCCAACAAGAGGAACCTCTGAAAGGTCTTTGTCCCAATGGGGTGCCCTGTTCTCCCCCCCCCAGGACACCCCAATATCCCCCCAATATCCCCATGGGGTGCCCTGTGCCCCCC